TTAGTAAGGTGATTGACAAACACATTATTACCATCCCCTTAGCCCTTTTACTGGCCTGGTACACTTATATTTCAGCTTCTGAAGATGATTGACCCTCCTCGCTACTGAATGTTGTACCTCAGTGCGAAACCTCCGCCGCACCCGCTACCTTGACGAGCGACGACCCAAGCGACCATCGGATCACCAGGAACCATCTGTAGACACCGAACAGAACCTGTATCCCTATGCGCTACTGCAGTGTTCCAGCGTTGCAGACGGCTCGAGGACGAGCCTTTCGCGTGGCCGAGCGATGTGAACAATACGTAGCAAGACCGGATGGCAGATTCACACCTCGGTCCAAGCAAATGCCTTTCTCCTTGGGCAGGACGCAGGTGTTGCCTTCCTTTCTCTTTTCACACAGGAATAAACATCCGCCCTCCAAGGAAACCACCGCATAAAAGGGCACGTGCCTATGGGGACAGAAGGAGACACGGCAGACAGGCCAAGCGACACAGGGTCCAGCTCCACCACCTCGTCCTCCACCCGGGGACACGGGGGTCTCTTGGGGGTTTCATATCTACCTTCAGAAATAAACCAGCAAGTTAAGACCCCTTTCATTGACCGCCCCAAGACCATCTCTGTTACGCTTACATCTAGTGGCTTGCGTGGTCACTTACGCTTACATATATATATATATATATATATATATATATATATATATATATATATATATATATATGTATATATATATATATATATATATATATATATATATATATATATATATATATAGATGTATATATATATATATATATATATATATATATATATATATATATATATAGATGTATATATATATATATATATATATATATATATATATATATATATATATACATCTATACGTAGATGCACGCACACACACACACATATACACACATATACACACACTATACATATATATAGAAAGATATAGATATAGATATTCAAGAAATCCATAAGCGAAAAGAGCGTCATTTCAGTATCAACAGGGGAAAAAATCATCAGTAAGAAAGATCTAATATAAGAGATAAGCCACGTAAATTAAAACAAATATATATATATATATCTCACCGGGCTTTCTCGTGACGTCACTCCCGTCTGTGCGAACGGGGTTTGAAAAGCCCGCCATCATCGGCATCATCTCCAGAGAGTACGAGCTCAAAAACTTTTTGATATTTTGCTCTCAATTGCCCCTTCTTGGGTTTGGTGCCAGTGGGAGTGAATTCTTTGATAAAAGAGAATATGATTTTGGAGGAAAGTTGGACGCGAGAAAGATGAATTCGGAGAAGAGACCAAAACTTTTTTTCTCCTTTTTTTCTTTTTTTCTTCTCTTTCTTTATCTCTTTTTCTTTTCTTTTCTTTTCTTTCTTTCTTTTTTTTTCTTTTACTTTCTTTTTTTCTCTTTTTTTGGATGGGGAAATTGATATTGCGTCGTGCAAACTCATCCGCACATAAACTTACATGCACGTATATACATACAAATACACACGCACACACACACACACACACATAACGCAACAGCATAATAAGATGCATAATGGCGATATTCGTGTGTATGTAGGAAAAAAAAAATATCGAAAACTTAGAAATCATTACATTCTATCCTCCTATCATCTTCGTAAAACAATAAAAAATAATAGTAATAATAATAATAAAAAGAAAAAAATATATAATAAAAATAAATTAATAGCTGAAAAAAATCGTACGGAATTAGCAGATATAATGAAGAAAAATAATAAATCTAGCCACTAAGGGGCGTGAGACAGCGCCGGCCCCGAACCCAAGCAAATATAGAGGGTTGGCGTCAGGAAGGGCATCCGACCAGAAGAAAAATATCCACCAGAGCCAGATTATATAGTGATGCCATATAAGAATGGGACAAAGCTACACCAAAAGAAGAAGAAGAAAAATCAGAGAAAAGGTGATAATAATGATTATAGAACGTATTGTGTATGTCTGTGTGCGCATATACGTATGTCTGTGTGTGGTTTGTAATCGAGAATATATGTTGCACGAGAATGTACACATAACAACATAAAAAAAAATAGAAGAAAGAGAAAGAAAAGAAATAAAGATAACAAAGATAACTCCTCTCTTCTTTTTCCTTTATTTCTCTTCCCTGTTCCTCTTCCACCCCCCCCCCCCTCGCACCCTTCACCCTCTCAAAAAAAAAAAAAATGATACTTAAATATGATCATTATCCGAGATTCGTGAAAGTTCCTTCTGCGTTGACTTATGTTAAGGTCACAGAGTATAGTGAGATGCAATAAAGATTTTGAATTACCTTCTTGCTAATAGTGATCATGGTTATGGTGATAGATATAAGGATGATGACTATAATAATGATGACGAAGGATAACGAGGGTGATGGTTCTGATAATCATGATGCTGGCGATGAATAGGATAATGATGTAATTAGCATAATGATGTTCATGAGGATGATGCTGATAACTGATATAATCATAGCATTGATTATGATACAAATCGATAATCATGGTAATAATAGTCGTAGTGATAAACCAAACAATTAATGAAAGCAACATGATAATCATAAAATGTCATAATGTCATTATCAGAGTAATGATAATGATGATGATAATAATAATGTAGGATTATAACAATAAGGATGATGAAAAGGATGATGATGATGATGATGATAATAGTGATGATAACAGTAACAGTAATAATA